AAATGTACAGAACAAAGGTCATGGACTTGAAAGGTGCACGCTCAAGTCAACTGGGTTAACAGCCGAGGTGCCATAATCTTAGATACATATGCTCGCAAGTCTTTGATTTAAGAATTCTTTTAAATTATTTTCCACAATAAAATAAAATAAAGAATACTTTAAAATTTTGAAGGCTAAGACGTTAAACATGCCATGGCGACCATGTTTGGATGATTACAAGCTGCTATCTTGAAAATTTTTCTTGGCATGTGATAAATAAAATGATATATCACTTACTTTATTTAAAATAAAAATAATTTAATAAATTTTTTTTTAAACAGTGTGAAATTCATTTTTCGGAGAAAGGGAAAAAAGGCTTGGGATTTGATCCCAAGCTCTTTAGTCTTAAGCAAGTCCCGGCAGGGGTGGTCATCGGGCCACCAAGTGTTGGACATTTAATAAATTTTTTTTAAGTGTAGAACTTAGTTATAATATAATGAAAGAATATTAGAAATTGTACTTTAAAAATTAGATGATCGGTAAGAATAAGAAACGAACTTCATACACTAATTAATTAAAGGATAAATTGCTTTGAATATGCTTCTAAGAACTTCACCAAACAAATGTACCTAGAAAAAAAAAAGGTGCAAGAAAATTAAATTACAAATGTAAATACAGCTGGAAGCATGGAAAGTTTCTTGATAGCATGAAATAGAAATCAATAAAAAAAAAAAAAAAAACAAATAGAATGTGAATTCAAATATCAACATTACTTAATTAGTTGAGAAAAGTACTTAGATAAAAAAAAAAAATGGAAGAAGAAGAAGAAAAGAAACAATTTAATTATAAAAAACTATCACTGGCGGCAACGAATTTTACACATTACAAAATTAATAAAAAGAGAGTTGAACTAATTCCTTAAAGAACCATAATGAACTTATGGAATTTCTAAAGGTCTAGAAGGAAATGACATTAAGGTAAGGTTGGATATTAGTGTTGGCAGAAATGCAGGGCTGAAACTATAGAAGCTTGAAAACTAAAATGTGCTTGAGCATTGAATGATAAATGGCATTGGGTTGTTGTGAGAGGAGCTGCCCTGCCTTGCTTGACTTCAGTCCCATGTGTTTACCGTGCAAACACCGTTAACAACATCTTGAAATCTGCAGCATCTTGAAAATATACAACAACCAAATTACTTTGTTAATAACGTAGCAACAACCATCCAAGCTTTATGCGGAGAAAAATCAAACATGTAGCTTAACCTAAGTTGATGAGATCACAACATAATAGCACCATATATGCATATTTTGACTCTCTGAAAACTTAATCTGTTACTAAGCCTTGATTTACTCCTATTATTCTCAAAATGCGACATTGACATCATTAATGCAATGGTTTTATTAAGAAACAAAATACTTCTTAACAGAAATGACATATGACATCATTTTATTTATTACAATAATAGGTGAAAACACAAGTTAACAACCAACAACAAAGAAAGGAGCATTAAAAGAAAAGTTGAGTTGGAGAAGTGCACATTTTCATGGAACCCATTGTAACATAACAGTGGCCATGAAGGGGACATGGTTTTTGACAGCTACTCTGAAAACAAGGCCATGTGACAGTACGTACCATAAAATTAAAAGGGGGTTAAATTATTTTCCATTCTGTCCCATGTTTTTTTATATTGAATTCACTATCTTTCTTTTAGAAACAGAGACCTCTTTTTCTCCAATTCTAGCACATCACAGGACCATCCTCTGTTTTGTTCTTCCCCCCTTCGCGGTTTTGGGTTTTGACTTGCGTTTCTCAGCATTTACTTCTGGGTCAAATGAAGTCATCTTTAGCTCTATTTTGAACCAGGCCTAATGAAAGATATCAGTCACCTACAACATGGACCACGCTAAGGTACATGACCAAACAAATGTTTTCCAAAGGATTTTTTCCTTAGACCTTAATGGGAAAGTTGTTAAGGGGAAAAAAAATTCTATGTCAATTAGATTAGATACTCATTTGGTACCAAAATCCAAGTTTCTTGCTAACGAACATACCACCAATTAAAGAAGACCTTTCCTTTAATTGTCAATGGTTAGTGATAATCCCTCTTCCAGCTAGGGTGAGAGGTATTAAATTTTAATTATACAATATTTGAATGAAATAAATAAAGAAACATAAAAAAGTTCATTTTGAAAAGAATGGAATACCATGATACAAATCTTAATTTGTCTTTTCATTACTTAATCATAGAGAAAGGTCAATAATGAGAGTGGGAGGCAGTGAGCACAGATGGTACGATGGCCGGCAGCTGATTTCACCTAATTACTCTACTCCTTCACGCGGCCTTAATTTCAACATCTCCTTCCTAGGGATTCAATGGTTGTTTTTTTTTTTTTTTTTCATTTTTTTTAATCCAAATATTTCCTTCTTTGGTTTCTTCCCTCTCAATTTCCAAGCCTCTCTTTCATCTTGACTTGGCCACTTCCGTAACTAAAAGTTAAACCAATAAACCCCATCACGAGGTTGGATGTGCTCTCTTCCTTCACCCTTTTATGTATATATAACAACATTTGCCGAAAAACACCATAACATCAACAAAAACTCCCCTTACTTCCTCAAACAAAATCCCAAACCCAAATTCTCGCTCTTTCCTTTACTCCGTTTCATTTGGTTATCACTTCTCATCAACATTCCTACATAATGCCTCGTTCTTGTGCCTTCTTGCTCATTCTCTTGGTTTTCTTTGTTTCTTTTGCGACACCGATGGAAGGAAGAAAGGTTTTGATTTCTAAGAAGGAAATGAGCGAAATGCAAGTCCCTCCTTTGTATTGGAGTTTGGTGCTCAGTGCCCTTCCTAAGGGCACAGTACCATACCCTGCCCCTAGCAAGAACGGTCATGCCACGCTTGACAACGAGAAGCTCTTCGTCCGGCACCTTGCTAGCATTGATCGAATTCTTTGGTCAGTTCCAAGCCCTGGTGCTGGCCATTGATATGCATTAGGCTGTTTCTAGCTCAAGTCCTGTAATCTTTAGTACAATTTTCATTTCCTCGCTCTTTTCATGACATGTGCAGCTACTCGAAACCTTTGTAGGGGAGAAGTGTGGGAGGAAAACAAGGGCTTGAACTCTACTTATATAAATGAGAAAGTACTTTTTTTTATTAATGATTTGATCAATTACTTTATAGGTCTTTTTTTATTTTCATTTTCTTTTATTCATGGTTGGTTTTGGCTTAATTAAACTATATTTATCCACATAAAAGTGTTAAAGTGTACAGTCACTAGTCAGTCTCAGAAATGAGGCTTTATTAATTTGTTCATTACTAGATTGATTTGTTAGTGTATGTGGTTGCCCTGAATTTGGTCATAAAAACAGAGCCCCAAATAAAAGAGTAATGAACATTTCAACTTACCTAGCAAGAATTTATTCGAGTTAACATCCATTAATTATACAATCTTATATCAATTTTGGCGAGTAATTATAAAGTTTTATTAGGTTAAAATTAAAAATTTAAACTTATGTAATACTAATAAAAATATAGGTTTAAATATTTGAACCAAGCTCTTGGATCCAATGATTTATTTTTAAATTTTAAGTGTTTAAATATAGAATTTAATTCTCACAAATGAGTTAAAAAAATATCTCTTCCCCCAAATTCTTTCATGTTCAAAAAAATGATGTTGCTTTTTCCATTAAAAAACAAAATAAAGTTAAAGATACATACTGCAATTGGTTTTTTGATTGAAGGGAAAAATTATAACCAATAAATATGAGACGCAATAATTCCAGAAGAATACTGTAAGTGTAAATAGAATCAGGGAGATGCATGCCGTCAAAATTGACTTGGATCTCTAAATGCATAAAATTTGGGTAAGAGGGGGTGTTATATGCACTTTGTGTAAATTTAGGTACACAAGTACTCATCTCTTTATTGATTTTTTTTAATTAAAAAATAAAATTACACTCAAACCAATCAAGACTGATTGTTAGCTCCACTTGGCATTCTTTGGGTAAAGATCAAATTGGGTCTATCTTATGTGATCACCAGGACCATCCATCTCCTTTCTTATTTCTTTTAGTCTATTAATTTGTCTTAGGAACAAAATCAATTCATTTTTTGTATTGTAATTATCTCTTCAACAATTTAACTGGCGCAATAGTAATCTTTTATTAATAGAAGTAAAGAATTTTGAATTTCAACTATAAACATATAGGTGATTTGGGTAAAAAAATATGAGAATTGTCTAATATAATGTAAAATTAAAAATAAAATCTTTTTCAAAATAAATATTGTGTTCGCATTAAACCTACTAACTAAAATTGATCTTATATATCTCATGAGGAGGCATAAGTACAACTTAAATTTCAATAGATACTTACCATGATCTGTTGATCTGAATGGAAGGAGTTCGATTCTCTTTGAGTAAGACCTCGAATCAAAGTTTTATGAATGGAGAAACAGGCATTTGAAGAGCTTTCCCTCTAATGGGATCTGATGCGACTTGATTTCAGACTAATCAAGATCTAATATGATTACCGAATACCAAAAAATTAATAAAAAAAAAAAGAATTTAATAGATGCTTATTGTATGTAACTTGAAGGGCCCCTTCCCAATTATCAAGTCACTTTTAATCAAATCATTAATATTTTATAATTCAAAGAATGTACATAAATTATATGAATTGTATTTTTAAATATTAAGAATGATAATGAATCCCACAAGGCCAGGTAGTGCCTCCCGTCCCCATCATTAGTAAAAATGGGAATTTTAACAAAAAATTTTTGAGAAGACAGATTTTACCTTTTGTCCTTGTGCTTGGTAGTGGTCCTGTTCCTAACCAATCTTTATTAAAATGTGAATTTCATTATTCAAATATAATCAATTAAATCCAAACACAATGAACAATTTGTACCAAGGAAAACTCAAACTTTAACTCATGTCATCAAAGTAGATTCACAACAAGAAATTAACCCAACAATTATGAAAAGAAAAAAAAATTGAATTAATAGCATTGGTACCCCACGCTTGGCACAGGCATCCTAATTAGCCTTTCCCAATAAGGTCGAAGTGAGCTTGTCCTGATTCTCTTTCACAATTTCAATTAAATCCAGAGTTGCAGTTTATTTTTAAAGAAAATTTTGAATTACAATAGATAAATATGTATATATATATAAACCCTAAAATCAGTCCAAAATCATGATCTTCAAAATGGATGAGATTTTTAGCAGTGTAAAGGTTTTTTTCCAATTTCTTAATATATCCAAAGCACAGAGTAAAGAAAACAAGCGAGATGCGTCGTAAGTGGCGGCAGAAATAGAAGCATAAGCAATAGGGCAGAAATTGAATTAACTGCAGACGGCTTCCATGTCTTCAGCACAATAGGTGGCAGTGGCAGCACAGCAGGCGGCAGTTGGAATGTTAGGGAGTTAAGGTTAGAAGAAAGGCAAAGGCCGAGAGAAGGGAAAGGAAAGAGGTCAAAACCTTACATTTAACCTTTTACCTTAATAAGTTTGTAGGTTTAGTCCATCAATTTATACTATAACACTTTTAACCCATCACCGATACAAATTGAAGGAAATAACTTTTATTTAACGTAAAATTATAATATTCGTCAACTAACTGTTAACATTCAGTGAACAGTCAATTAACAGACTATTAATGGTGACAAAAATAACGTTAATGGAATATTAATAGTTACATGACGAACGTTATAAATTGATATCAAATAAAGACTATTTTTCTTCAATTTGTAAAATTAAGGGATTAAAAGTGTTATAATATAAGATAAATGATTAAAACTTATAAATTTATTAAAATAAAAAACTAAAAGTAAGTTTTTACCAAAAAAAAAGAGTAAGTGTGTGTGTGTCAGCAGCATTGAGTGATGAATATTAGGGAGAGTTCAGAGTTAGACTTAGATATGGGTTAGTTGAGTTGAGTAAAATTAGGATAAATTTAATATATATTGAATTAGGGTTGAATTGTTTGTAATATATTGGATTGAATTCAATTTTAAATAAAATTAATTTATTTATATATCTTTTAATTTTTTCACAAAGAATGAGGATCCTATAAGACGGGGTCAAGTGAGAAAAATTCTCACATAAATTCATGAGAAGAAAATATCTCCTGCTGTAAAATGAAATATTCCTTCATGGTTCATGCTCTGCCCTCGCGGCAAAGTTCCGTAGCTATCGGAGAAAATTGCTACTCCTATCAAAGATGTTTTCATGTGAAATGTCTTTTTTATTCACAAAACATGTTTCATGTCGTAGACATTGTTTCCACAAAACAACCCAAAATTAATACATTGTTGTATCGGTGGAATGAATTACGGTAAATTGCCTCAAAAAAAGGGAAAGTATTCCACTAGATGACGAAAACATATATATATAATGAGAATGTGTTTATATATAAATTTAATATATTATATTTATATAAAATTTTTTATTTTTAATAGTTAAAATTTATTTACATTTATTAAAAATAATTTTTTTATTTTAAAAATCATAATAAATTTTAATTATTAAAATAAAAAATAAATTATCAAAATATTTTTTTATTTTAATTTTAATTACACAACGGGAAGCAACCATCTCTCATTGCTTATCTTATTCCACTTGTATCTCATTTATTATCTCATCCTACCGGCATGCCATGTAATCACTAAATTACTTAGATCACTAAATTACATAGATCATTGATAATTATCAAAATTATATATAAATATAATCTATAAAATTTATATATAAATGATTTATATATATATAATCTTTTCCCATTCGGTAATATACAAATCTGTTCATGAATTGAATGTCATATACGGAAATAATAGTAGCCTTTTGTTGTCACAGTAATGTGCCCCATTTCCATAAATTAAATGTCGATCACATGCGAAAATTTGAGAAGTTCATCGTCGCAAGAATGAAATGTGCGAGGCGTGTTGGAGGAATTGATTGTAGAACATGCATGTATTATGGGTACAAGAACTGTTCAAGCATTCTCTCAAACAGGACAAGGCTCCTAGATGTTTCTATCAAGAACTTTTTACCTCATGCTGATGAAAAAAATTAAACATTTTCAAAAAGAGAAATTAAGAAAAAGGAAAAAGAATAGTACTTTTAAGTGAAGTTTCTAAGAAGTTTCAGTAAAGAGAAAAGAAATGTAAAAGAAAATTAAATGAAAAATAAAATGTAAACAAGAACACAGTTCCCTCCCTTTCAAGAGACAACCATACAAGGTTCTATATTTGATTGCAGAAATCCAGAGCAGATATGCATGTAAGAACCTTAGAAATTATGGAACAAGAATATCATCATCAATTGGGCAACTATCTGGTGCTCGAGACAGAAACTGGTTCGGAGGAACTTGTTTCTTTTCTTCTGATCAAGAGATGCCTGGTTCTGAAATTGGGAGCAGAGTGGCCCTTGTGGCTGGGACTAGAAGAGGGTACGCTTCCCTTCATAAGAATACGCGTAGCAATTTTGTGCTTCGGGAAATCTAGTCGCTCCATGTCAAATCTCGGCGGCATTCTTGAAGCTGCAGAATTTGGTGATAATGGTTGTGGATCAGCATCAATTCGGATTACCAGAACACTTCCAGATATGAACATGAGCAAAAACATTGTTAGAGTGAAAGCGAGGACTGTTTGACTATTGGTGGCAGCCATTTGATTTGAGGGTTTAATTAGTAAGAAGTTGTGGTTGGGCTTGTTAGGCTTTTGATATATTTATAGGGAGAAACACACAACTGAGCAAGCAGGATTATATAAGATATGGTCTTGAATTAACAATTTTGATGCATTTGTGTTATTTATGGAAGATAGCACAAAAAGTGAAAAGGGTTTGGGGATCTAAGGGAATATATCTCAATCACTATAAGAGGAATCGAATATCATGAGGCTTCAAAAATGTTGTGGACATTAGAAAATATTGGAGCTGAGAAGTAAAAAAGAGATGACACCGCACCGACATGCGTAAGACGGAGATTTAAACCTAAAATTTCTGAAGTTTTCAAAATTTGCTCAAAAGTTGACTCATCCAATGGTTGTTAGGATGGATACGTCATTAGTGTATGACCAAACTAACCCAGTAGTCTAATTTCGTGCATTTTCTTTGGGCACAAGCCAACAAAGAAATCTTTACTTGCCGACAGGGATTTAGAATTTTAGACTTTGTTGGAAGATTTTGGGCACTCAATTCTCGATCCAGAATGGCTCTGCTGAAGAAATTAAGGTGAGGGAGTTGATCAGAGTTTGGTCTTTTATGTATCTATCAGTTGTGATGTCATTACAAGCTTTTTTCCTTGCAATTTTCTTGGTAGGGACAGTTTGATTTTAGTGGGTGTTTTTTTTTTTTAAAGATCTTTCAAGCCGTCAGTTGGATTAGATTGGGCATTTGAGTTTGATTTTTGAATTTACTGCCATATAAAGAGGAAAAAGAAAATTAGAATTAGATCATGCCTTCAACTTTATGTCTCATTTATCAGCCCGCTGTCAACGCTAAAAAGCCAATTTCTTCTTCCTTACCAAATATATTGTGGTTAGTTTCTTTATAAATTGGCATCAAAGATCATATCAATGCCTTCAAAAATCAAACTTCTGGTGTACACTTTGTTTCATTTTCTTTGTGTTTTGTATGATAGAGTTGTTTGGTTATAATAAAATATGAAAAAAATGAAAATTAAGATATTTTGACACTTTAAATATCAAGATTTTTAATTGTTTAAATGCTACTAATGAATCTTATTTATGCGTTGTTTCATTTAGGAATGTTTTGATTTTTTTGTCAATGATTTAAATAGTTTAGTGGACATCTTTTTTCATTGAAAATAATAGATCATGAGTTCAATTTGCATGGCACGCGGGTGGAGTGAGATAAGAAATGAAAGATGGTTACTTTTTATTGTGTAACAAAGATAAAAAATTAAAAAGTTTTTGTTTTTTTTCACTTTTTAAAAAAAATATAAATTAAATATAAAGACAATTGGCCTAGTAGCTCAGTTGGTGAGAGTGTCGTATTAATAATGCAAAGTTGTCTTTCTTTTAGGGGTGGGCACATTTTAGATATTAATAAATTTCTGCTCCAAATTTTTAAATTTTAGTTTGGATATTTAGATAAATTTAAATTACACCAAAATAACCAAAATTAATTTTAATTTGGATATAGTTATTGATTTATATCCAAAATTACTGATTGAGTCACCAAATTACCTAAAACTATTTGAAATATTTTAATATAAATTATTTCATTTTTTTATTTTGGTTTTTGTATTATATAAAATATTTTGAACAAAATTCTTTTTTAGTTAAATTTATAGATAGGAATATAAAGAAAAAGATTATAAATAATTAAAATTAAAAAAAAAAGCTTTTAATGACAAAAAGCAAAAAATAATAGTATAATTTAGTTATTTTAATTAATTAATTAAATTATCTGAATAATTTCAAATAACTAAAATTGTAATCAAATTAAAATTTTAATTTAAATTAAGTATAAAAGTTTTATCCAAAAATATTTTGGATAATCAAAAATTTAGTCTGACAAACTCAAATGCCCTCGCTTTATTTTTTATTATTATTATTATTATTATTATTATTATTCATTAAGCAACAGCCACATGGTGGCAGGACACTCCGGACACTTAATCAAATTTCCTGACCTGATGCATAAATATTTATCAGGAATGTTCCATAGTCATTTAGGAAGCAAAACAAGAACCCTTTTCTCTGTAAATTGTCATGGCGAAGGACAAAGGAAGAGAAGTAGTCTACACAGACAAACAATAGAGCCAAGCTGGCCGCTGCCACAGTCCATTCAAGGGATAGCTGCATATAACATTAATTACCTTGTTCCACAGTGTTAACGAGTTGAAACCTTCAGCTAGGAGCGCATATGGTTCCTACCAGGGCAATCTGTGTTGAATGCTAAGATGATATATCCAGGTAAGTCCAACTATGTTGCTAGGACTAAGCCATAATGCGGTCCAAATCAATGAGGAAGCAACCATGATAATTAAAATGTTGGAATGGTATGCATTTTAGAAGAAATGAAAAGAGGATTTGAAGTATTTGATGTGACTATAACAACTACCAAACTCCACATCAAGAAGCCTTTCAGGAGTGCTTACACGGTTTCAAAAACTTCAAGAACACAAATTTCTCCAAGGTTCTTCCTTTAAAAATTGGGTAGCTTTTCCGTTTACAGAATATATAGCATTAGAAAAAGACTTCTTTCTTTCTTCACATCCATCATAAAATGATAAAATAATTAAGGTGCTACAAGATAAGGGTCATGGGTCATGAATTAATGGGAAAGGTAAGTGCATCGCTTGGAATCAGATATCGTGCATGGAATATGCCAGTGAAGGGAACTGAGACACAACAAACAGAGCATTACTCCAGCATTTAATTATGCTTGCTGACAGGAAGCATTTAATCTGTTAATTAAATTGTATTCTGTACTCTTTCAAAATGTTGGACTTCCAAGTCATTAGCTCTTTTAATTTGTGGGAAATAGGGGATGGATACACTTTATCTTAGCTAAAAGCTGGGTGTTAAACTTAAATTCGCTTCTTCAATGCGAACAAAGACAATTTACTCGTAGCAAAACTAAAAATATTAGTGGCAGCCAATTGAGCTGAGTGTTTACTAAAAGCTGTGGTGGGGTTTTCAATTATTCATTTCTTTATAAGTAGATGCATATCAAGCATGCATGTAAAAAACGTGTTAAGTGATAAAATGTGTTTAATTAGATAAAAACAAAAAAAATAATGTATTTATTTGTGAGGAAAATTTAAATTTAAAACTTCTTGAATTTTTAAGATTCTCAACACAAGGAATAAAACTTGACTAATAAGGATAGCCAAGTTAACCCAATATAATTGTATTTCATGTGTTTTCTTTAAGCACAAGTCAACAAAGAGCCCTTTGCTTGCCGAAGGCGACGTTGGTGGTGGAAGATGTTGGCCACTACTGAATTCTTGATTCATAATTAAGCTCAGCTTTTGGAAAATTGAGAAGTGTCTCTTCAAAAAAAAAAAAAAAAATGTACATGAGGTAAGGAAGGAGTTGAGAGTTTGGTCTTCTATGTATCTATATATATCTATGTGATCTGATATCATTTCAAGCTTTTTCCATTGCAATTTTCTTGGTAGGGACAGTTTGATTTTTAGTGGGTGTGCTCATTGTATGGGATCTTACAGCTGTTAATTAGTTGGATTAGATTGGCTATTGGAGTTTGATTTACTAAAAAGAAGAAAAAATCTAGGATTAGATTAGGCATGGAGCCCTCACTTTATGTCTGCATGTCCCCCAGGGCCACTATCCTAGTTAAAAAGCCAATTCTTCCCATTCCTTTCCAAATATGGTTAGTTTGAACATCCAATTTCCCAGTTCAGATTTCTTTATCA